AAACTCTTGAGCGGTTGCAGTAACGGGAGTTTCGGAGAGCAAAAGCTACGTCACCAGGCCATGTGAAGGAACATGTGAATATGGGATGATGGGAGGTCACTGTCTGGTTCATATTCCAGAGAATTAATCACAAGTATTTTATCTTCGATAAAGTCTCAGGGGGAATTCCAGTTGATACCAATACATTTTACTGGAATTGCCTCTATTTTAACAATAAGATGTCGCCACTTGGAAATCAGATTTTTTTTTTTTGTTTGTTTGTTTGTTTGGACTGTGTTTGTAGAATTGTTCAGGTCACATTCAGGTTAAGCGGAGGTCATTTCTGTAGCCTGTAGTCACACAAACATCTCAGGGTTTTGAACAGGTCACATTATACAAGGGAGGAAAAAGTATCGCTGTGAGTAAAGCTGGATATTTCTGACTAAACGGATGCTTTTGAAGCCTCTTCCTGTTTTTCTTTTTCTGGTTGAATTAATAATGCACAGAGACCGGCCTGATCTGGTTCCCTTGTGACTCACCGATGCTAATGCCAGTTTTACTTCTTCAAACATGTGGTTGTTTGTAATGTAGAATTTCGTATTTGTGTATTTTATAACGGCTGAAATCGCAACTGTTGCTCTGTTGCAATACCAACAGAGATTTTTATTTGTGCTTAAAGTAATACGCCATTAGTTGATTCTGTTTGGCTATTTTGATGTTTTTGTTCTTGTTATAGACCAGCCATTGTTCAGCTCTCACCAGATTTTTGGCCAGATGTTGCAACAGTTCCCCACTAAAACATTAGCAGAAGATGCCCTCAGTTCGTGGATTTGACTTCTCCGGCACATCTCACTCAATCAGATTGAGATCTCTGGAATTAGGATGCCAAGTGAACACCTTGGACTCTTTGTCATGTTCCACAAACCCTTTCTACATGATTTTGCAGTGTGGCTGGGAGCATTATTCTGCTGAAACAGGCCACTTGCCATCAGGGAATAGTGCTGCCGTCAAGGGATGTAGGTGGCCAATATTGTGTACGTAGGTGCTACGTGTCAAACCAACATTCACATGAGTGCAGAAGACAAGGTTTCCTAGCAGAACATTACCCAGAGCATCACCTTTCCTCCGCCAACTAGACATCCGGCTGCGATCATTTCCACCGATAAACACTTGTCATTCATCAGAGCAGGCCGCCTTCTTTGGTTTCCTAATGGTGTTTGTGGTTAACAGGTGTCATCATGGCGCTCTGACTGGTGTGTAGCTCCGCACACAGCCCCGTACGATGCACTATGCATTCTGACTCCAACTTTATAATTTTCAGCAGCTCTTTTGTTGTCCAGCTCTGGCTCAGTGAGCCTTGGGCACCCATGACCCTGACTCCACCTCATTGGTTGTTCTTACTTGGAACATTTTGGCCACTTACTTACTACTACGTGCCTGGAGCACCCATAAAACCTCCCACAAAACCCAGTTGTCTAGCAATCACTGTTAACTTACACCTTACACCTTACACCTTACACCGTACGCTGACTGTCACTATCCAACAATGCTTCTCCCTTCACCTGTAAGTGGGTTTAATGTTGTCGCTTATCAATTTAAGTGAGTAAATTATGAAATCTTGGCATCCTGTGTTTTTCCCAACATCCTTATGTGAAAATCACTCAATGATCACCAATGCAAAACCCTTTGATCAGCCAAAAACACCCAAAGAAACACACACAAAAAGAAAGATGTCTTCATAGGGATAACAAAACATGAACTCTCGAAGCATACGAAATCACTTGAGTTTCCCCCTTTTTTTCAGTTAGTTATTTAGTTGTACACGTTTTTCCACTCATCTCATTTTAAGAAAACTGCCTCATTTTGACTGGATTTGATCACCTGTTGCTTCATTTTGGTTTAATATTTTTGTTCACTCCAACTTTCAAATGTTTTAGGCTTTTTTAAAGTTGTTTTCAGTGAAAAAGCTCCGATAAACCCACTACCTGCCCACCTATAGATGCCACACAGACAAAGTTAGCTATTACAGGTGATTCAACCAGAGCTAAAAGACAGTAATTAATTGGTTTTAAATATCCTGGTGGTGAAACATTCCCAGTGAATGCCTGCGAGGTGTTTAAATAAGCAACTGTCTACTACTAACCATATCAACTGGCATGCTACTGATGTATTTTACAGCTTCTGAAAAATCTAATCTAGCAATACTGATTGACCCTTTTCTTCTCTAGGTCCCCGAGGAGGACATAGTGAGTGTGACAGACATGCTCCAGCATCAGAGGAAAGAACCAGCCACCAGCTGATCTCTGGAGTGTCGGCTCAACTGGACGATCCTGGCTCCACGCGTCTCCCCACAGTTCCAGTGGCGATGAGGAGGGTGGCAGGCCGGCAGGGGAAAGGAGGCTAACTCTGTGCCTAGACTAGCACTGCATTGCCAGCAGTATTAACTACTACAAATTTGCCATGAACACCAGAAGCGCTTTTCTACGGTGTGCGCACACACACACACACACACACACACACAGGTTGTCTGTGAGGCTTCCTGTCTTGCCTGCACAAGGCAGGATGCACTGAGTCCCAGGGGGCCCACAAGCACATGCAGATCCACATGCACACACAAAAACACACTCACATACATTGTACCAGTGCTATAAACGCACAACTTAGTCTTCCAGTATTGTTCATATCATAATACCGTGTGTCTAAACAACCGTTCTGTTTTGTTTTTTTGTTTTTTTTTGTTCACTGCGAGACCAGTCACAAGAGTTGCAGTTTTCCTTTTCTGTCAAAGTGCGTAGCTTGAAATGCAGGACAGTTGTGAGAATGTTACAGTAGTTTTCATGCAAAAGAAAACCTTATTTTTGCCAACTGGGCTCTCTCGTTTTTTGGTTTGAGATGAATGTGCAGAAGTTGAAACTGCTGCAAATGCTGTAGAGGTGTTTTTTGTTCGTTTGTTTGTAATAAGAGGTCAACATTTCTTAACCATGACATTAAGGTCAATAACACTATGTCTTATTTTTTTGTTATTTGCACAAACTTTTAATTTAGCTCTTATCACCTAGATCTTTTCTTTGGTACAACTACATTTTATACAATTTGAAGTAAAAGTATTCTGTAAACATTTGTAATTTTTGTGCTGCTTCATTTAATAAAAATGAATGAAACTATAGGCTCTATGTTTGATTTTGTAATGAGCAGGTTGTTGAATCCTTAAGGCGAACAGAGACTCATAGCGTGACTTCAAGTTCTGCCAAAATCATGACTTCCTCATGATAGGCAGATCTCTCTGATTCATCACTCATGATTCAACTGTGTTCACTGAAGTTTAGATAACTGTTATTTATGTTTTTAAAGGAAAGTGACAAGTGTGATGACGTTAAGGTTAATAAGGACTATCCATGAATTTTCACGTCATGTTTCACCAGCTCCAGGAAGTTGGGAAGGAACTCTTCCATGCCCAGCCCTCAAACGTTTCCTCCCTATGGTGTCGAGTCCTGTTTGAGGAATGACGAACTCTGTCGTAAAGTTATAAAAGCTTGAAAATTCAGCTGGAGATGCAAAGAGGCTCAGATTAGTGATATCCGTGGCTGTAGTACAACAAGTAAGACACTTTACCTTCTGGTCAGAAGCTGAGATCTTGTGAAGAATTTTTTTTTATTATTATTTTATTTTTTCGTGGTTATACCTTAAACAAACCTAGTACATTTGGCTTCGATGGAATTACTTAAAAACAAGGAATTTTAAAATCCATTACTGTGTTTATATTCTCAGGATGAAATGAAAGATACATTTAAATGTCATCTGCAAAGAAATGGGGTGAACCCAACTGCTAGTTTTTCAAGGGGACGCAAGTACAAAGCAAAAAAGAAAATAGAGGACCCACTATGGAGCCTTGGGGTACACCAGAAGACTTAAACATCAGATCTGGGAAGCTTCCGTAACAGAGGTAAGAGAAAGTTTGCCGCATTTTGATTCAATGCTATGCTTTCGACTGTTAAACAGACCATTTATCTGCATTGCTATTTTCTTAGAAGTTGTTTCAAATGAACACATCTAGCAAAAGAAAAAACTGAAACGTTACCAGTGTTAAATTGAATGAGAAAACAGCGAGATGGCCCTAATAGCAACACTACACAAGGACACTTTTAAATTGTGAAAGTAGAAGAGTGTAACAGGAGTTTTCCGCCAAATTAGCGAGAAATTGGAGGCCAAACCATGGAACTCTCACTTAGCATACTGTAGGTGGGAATTGTGGCGTGGTGTTGCGTCATCTTTAATCTTATTTTGTGGTTAAGACGGGAAATGGCAGGTGACGAAGCGATAAGTAAAGATGAACAAGCTGAAATGTGCATTTTGTTAACATGGTAAATGTTGGATGAAATTGAGTTCTAATTAAGATTTATTAACAGCAACATTTAATGTAAATCCCCCTTAAAACAAATCAACAGATGTTTATGATCCCATGTCATAGGATTAAAAGAGTATTAACTTCTTTTTTAGTGTTTGATTTTACAGATTTTTAAAAGCCTCTGTGATTAAAACCATAACATTTTCACATGAGAGAGGCAATGGTGTCTACATTTGTTTGTGTAGCAGTATGTTTTTGATTTTTTTCCTCACTCCTCAAAAGTACCTAAATGAAACACAACC